GGAAATAGGCTCTGCGAACACCCTTCATACCCTCTCAACCTAATCCCAGCCAACAGCTCTTGAGTTGTTACCAGAGACCCTCCTCAGAGCGCTTCAGGCAGAGCAGTGGTTCTCCAAGTGTGGTCCCCGGACACGCAGCGTCAGCATCACCCGGATGCAGGTCATCCTCGGGCCTCTCACCCAACCTCCTGCCTCAGGCTCTGGGGAGGGGCCCGGCACTCCGTTGTAATAAGCTTCTCGGGGACTTAGATGCATGTTCGAGTGGGAGAACCACACACTTTGGTTCCTCAACAGCCCCTTGAGGGCGGGCAGTAAGTAGTGTGTCCTGTAATACCGAGGAGGAGGTCACAGCCGGGAGGTGGTGCCACTGTCTCCTCGTGCTGTGTGTGCACCCAGCAAACACGGACAGGCAGCGGTTCACCGGGTGCACCCTCTGGCACTCGACCGTCCGCTCCTCACGGCAACCAATGGGGTGCCCGTTCTTACCTCCGTTTCACAGATGCGCCCGTGCGGCTACTCCAAGGTCATATGGCAACTCCGCTTTGAAGTTGCAGCTCAAACCCAGGTCTCTTGACTCTGGCTGGTTTTCTTCACTGACTCGTTCCTGCTTCTGTCCCCAGCTCTGTGCCGCTCCCAGCTGCCACCTGGCCGTGGCCGTGGCTCTCCTCTGGGAGGCCCTGCCTCCAGCACCAGAATCTGGACCGAGCCTCACTGTCTGCAGCTTTTAAATGGGTTTCCCCTCGCTCTCCCGCACCTGCAGTCCCCTGATAGGCGATGCTTTCCCTACATCGTGCCCCCAGGCAGACTGCCCAGAGGGTATATACCGGGCCTTTTGGGTCGCTGCTGACAGTGGGGCTAAGGCAGCTGGGCTGGGCTGCCACTTGCCCGCCACCTCTTAGTTTGGTCTGAATTTCTTCCGGGACAATGATTGTATGCATATATGAGAAAACAACGCCAGGGGATATTTTTCTGTCATGTTGGAAACTCCAAAAAAATGCTCATCACGCCTGAATTCCTCCTGCAGGTCCTAAAAGCAGAAGTTGCCCCCTGACCCCAGTGGCACCGGGAATGTCCCTGGTTCACAGCTGTGGTGCTCTCCGACCTACGTGTTCGGGGGCAGCTTCCAGGTGTGCCAGGTGTGCAGAGCACCCGACTCAGGACTCGGGGGAGGGACCAGGAGTCTTTGTGGGCCTCCTTAGAAAGAGCCTTGTAGTCCATGTGTCTGAGATCTTTGCTGATCTCCTTAAAATGTGCAACTCCAATGATACAGTTTTAAGTCGGGCACACTGGTGCCCTCCTGCTTTGTTTCTCTTTAGGGATAAGCACTAGATCTGGGCAGGCTTCCAAGTCTTCTGGGCTTCCCTCCCAGCCACCAGGACAAATGGGGTGCTGAGGAAGGGTCACCAGAGCTGGCCAGGAAGCATGGCACGCTTGGAGGGTGGAGGGGCCGGGTAATGCAGGGCCGGAGGTGTGGGCGGTGTGGAGGGAAACTGACGAGGGTTGCCGAGCTCCCTGAGGAGTCACTGCAAACCCCGGGGCGGGCGAGGGGTGGGAGGCGGGGGCCTGTGAACCCAGCAAGAACTGGAAGTGTAGGAGGGGAGGGCCCCTGACCGGAGCAGGGCAGCCTGGCCTGGCCTGGCCTTCCTCCTGCCCTCCTTTGACCAGAGTTAGCCAGAATCCAGAAGTTGTAGGAACCCCAGCATTTCAGTCTGTAAAGGCCAGGCTCTTGGGCGCACGGCGAGCTGGGGAAGGTGCAGGGAGGGAGTGTGGAGGGGCAGATAAGAACGTCATCCCCCTGCCTGCCCGGCCTTTATCGCCAATAAAGGCAAGTGTGACATCTACAAATACGGGGGAAAGGCTAATATGATAAGCGGGCCAGTGGTCTCAGAATCCGATATTTAGACACTTCCCTCTGATGGGAGGAACGTCCAAGTGCCTGGGGCCACCTTTAAGCCCCCACATTGAGGAAGGAAAGCCTGCACTTCGTAGCTTCAAGATCAGAAGTTGTCATGGTGAGACCGTGTTTGTGACCCTGTTCTTCAGGGGCCGTTCCTCCCCTTCCCCTGCTCTCCCCACCCCTCCCCCCCCCCCCCCCTGTCCACTCCTGTCATTCATTTCTGCACCTACGAGGTCTGGGACCACCCAGACTCTTCCAAAAGCACGTTCACGGCACTTGGACTCCTGCTGTCCCGGGGAGCAGGGAGCAGCTGCTAGGCCTTCGGGTGACGAATTTATCCGGGACGGTGGGTGTAGCGGATGAAAAGAAAGAGATTGGAAAATTACGTAAAATATTTGAGGATACGTGGCTATAATTACATTGAATGGGCCTATTTTTTAAAAAATCCCTGAACCCTGAAACCAAAGTGAAGTTTGATGTCTCGGAGGCCTCCTGTTTAAATATTTCTAATTCCACAGAGCCCGATTCTGCGTGCTCTTACCCATTCTTGCCCCCTCCCTGGGTGTGTCCCCCACGTGCAAGCGTTTTTTCCAACCGTTTTCTTTGTGATTTAAGTGGTGACAGTTGCATCTGCATTTCAGTCTTTCAGAGCCATTTTGCAGAGATGGGGGTTGGCGTCTTCATTTCACAGGCCGAGAAGTGAAGGCATAGATTAGACTGGGAAGAGGCAGCGCCGGTTCCCTGTGCGAGGCGAGGTTCTCCTGACCCCCTTCCTTCTTCCTAAGAAGAAGGCTTCCAACAGCAGCACGGCTGACTTTCCGGGGGGGGGGGGGGGTCATTCTTTGCTGTGAGGGCTGCCCTGTGCGTGGTAAAATGTGGAGCCTTGTCCCTGGCCTCTCCCTGGGGTTGTCACACCCCCAAAAGACAACTAACAATGTCTCCAGACATTGTCAACATGTTCCAGGGGGACAGGGGGACTCCATTAACCTCTCTTGAGAGCCAGCACCTTCAGCAGAGCCACTTAGGGTCCTGGACGTCAGAGATGGTGAGTTAATAGGTCTCAGGTCAGGCTGGGCCACAGGGGATGTTTCAACAGTCTTTTGGGTATTTCCGATGTGCCATTGGGGTTCAGAACCTCCATTCCCAAACCCGAGTCTCGCCTCGCTAAGCCTGCGTTTGCTGATCTGTAATACTGAAATGATAACACTGTACCTGTCCCATCCAGCCGTGAGACTTAAATCTGTTAATCTGTCTGAAGAATTAAGCACAGGACTTAGAACATGGTGATTTATTTGCTCAGTACATGTGAGTGCTCATCAGTCTTACTGTTCTTCTCTCCCCTCCCTCAGCTTCCTTCTGGATTCCCCGGTAGAAGAGTGGAGGGGGGACACCACAGCCCGGATTCAGGGGTGGGGGGTTGCATATTGAGTGTGGGGGTGATGACGTAAGGGAGCCGAGAGTACAGTGAGATGATTTTCACTCAGGTAAGCGGTGATGGCACGGAAAGGGACTCTGTGAGCGCAAGGAGCAGGTGTCGTGGGCGCGAGACTCAGAGAATCCCACGGGAGTGGGGAGCTCATGATCTCAGGGTGTCTGAGGCAGCGAGGGTCTGGACATAGCTAAGGGCCCGCTTCTGGCACTGAGAGTTTGTGGCCCAGGAGGTGGGAAGGCCGTTGGAATGGAAGAGGTCGTGGAAGTGCGTTCAGAACTGTTGGATGGCTTGTCCCCGGAGTGGTTAGACTTCCCTTGGTGGTGAGGGGTGTCCTTGTCCGCAAAGCCTGTGTGGGGGGCGACCAGGGTATCAGAACTGCATTCTGAAGGGGTCCATTAGGGGAACAGGGGGTCTGGAAGCCACGCCACGGGAGGAAGGGCTGTGGGCGGTTGTGAAAATGAAGAGGCGCCCGTCAAGAACCCCCCTTTAATTGAAGTATTGGGTGCCAGAGGGGGCATACTCGTTCTGGGGGGTATGCCCCCTCACGGCCAGGACTGAACAAGGCCGTAGTGGGGTCAGGAGACAGGTGTCGATGCTAGGAAGGCTGTGCTTTGTAAAGGAGACGGCATGACAGGCTCGGCCCCTCCCTCCCTGGAGCTGTTTTGAGAGAGGCTAGATGGTTCCTGTAGGGGGTGCCCTAGAGCAGCACTTTCCAATGTTCGTCAAGTTGCGGCCCATTCATTCTGTTATAGAAACTAATACCAGTATGGTGCCAGGAGGGACAATAAATAGGAAAAGGTGCTGGCAGCAGAGGGCGGCCAAGCCTGAGGTCGCCTGGAGGGCTTGGAGAGTGTCTTTGTTGCCTGGAGTCCATGCCAGCACACCGAGGCGCCATGGCACCCCGTTTGGGAAGGTCAGGTCTCCAGGACGTCGGTGCTGTGATTGGAGTGCAGTGCGCCAAGCACCGCATCCTGTCCTCGGCGGCGTCCCCTCACACACTCCATGGTATCTGCAGATGTGTGCCGTGCCCCTCCTGTGACGGGGAGTCCGCGGACACTGCCACCTTCGCAGGGTCGCCTTGGGTTAAAGAACAGAGCTAGGACTCATCCGTTCGTGTCTGGAGCCCATGCTCTTAACTGCTTGGATGGGATGGCCCACCCGCCTCCCTTCAGTTCTGCCTGCCTCCAGTCCTTCGAATGATCTCCCGGCTGCGAGCCAGACGCCTTACCAAGCTGACCTTCACCTGAGATGTCTCGTGAGAACACTTCACAGCCTCTCGGAGCCCTCCCTCCTCCGTCCGAGATCCCTGGTGGCCACTTCGTCCTTCCAGGGCGCATTTCTTTCTTCTCTCTCGTTCCCAGCTGTCATTGTGTCCCGGCGTGGGGGCAGGGAACTCACTGTTCATTTGAGCCAATCGCCATTTCTCTCGTCCCCAAAATGTAATTGAAAAGAGCCTTAATGGCTTCCAAATGATGATAGCTCCATAAACCGATTAAAAAGGCCTTAATAAAACTGTCTCGAGTTATTTTCCAGGATGCAGCCTCTGTTCTCTGTTTTGTAATGATCCCGATGAGAACTAAGGGCGGTTTTTCTCCGTCGTGCGGTTGGAAGTTCTGAGAAGGCCCTCTTCTACTAGTCTAACTGCTCTCCTTGTCCTTGTTTGCTTTTCAGACAATCCACGTCGCGATCGTCTGCGCTGGATATAACGCCAGCCGGGACGTCGTCACCTTGGTCAAGTCCGTCCTGTTCCACAGGTGAGCGCGATGGTTGCATTCTGCCGGAGCGTGTCTGCTGGCGTGTGTGTGTGTATGTGTGTGTGTGTTTCCGTGGGGAAAATCAGAGCACCACTCAACTGTCAGTTAAGCTGCCGTGAAGATGTAATTTTTGCCTGAGACCTTGGGGAGGTGGTTGTGCTCCTTAATGTTTAATAGCAGCAGTTAGGTGCCGTCTCACAACATTTAGAAGTGCAGCTCTGAGACCTGAAGGGACCTGAAGGGACACCCCAAATTGGATGTTTCCATTTCTTCATCAACGTCCCTTGCCTGACAGTCACCAGACCTCTGCTTACACGTCCCTGTGGACAGGTGGTGGCTGAGTTGTATGTGTTCCCCCCCCCACCCAGACTTTATTTGTTGGAGTTTTATCCCCCAGTACAGCAGAATGTGACTGAATTTGGAGATAGGATCTTGAACGAGGGAATTCAATGAAAAGGAAGTCCAACAGAGTGGGTCCTCATCTAGTGTGACTGGTGTCCTGATCGGAGGAGATTAGGACACAGGCGCTCACGGTGTGAAGACCACGTGAGAACACGTGGAGAAGGTGGCATCTACAAACTAAGAAAAGAGGCCTCAGAAGAAACCGGCCCTGCCGACACCTTGATCTTGGACTTCAGCCTCTGGAAGTGTGAGAAATAAATTTAGATTATTTAAGCTACTCCGTCTATGGTGTTTTGTGTCCATTCTGTGGTATTTGGCTAGGGCAGCCCTAGCAAACTAAAATAAGTTGTGTATTCTTTTCCAGTAAACACTTAAAATAAGTTGTTTACTCTTTCCCCCACCTCTGGGCATTTCTGACCTTAAGGAAGGTCCTGCCTTTTATTAAAGTGAAAATTACCCACCTGCAGATGATAGCCATGGCCCTCGTGGGTCCCCCTGGAACCAGGCGCACAAAGGGTAGGTTTTTCTTCCTCCAGGGAATGACACTGCCTTTCCGAGTCATCGCTTGTCCCCGTGAAATTCCTGGTGTTTGCCTCTACTTATTCACATGGCGTTTCTCCCGTGCCCTCACTGTGTCGGTTGATAGCTCAGCCTACTTAGGGTATGTCCAGGGTGGAATCGCCAGCTCCAGCCAGCGTCCTTGGCCCTCTTCAAAATATCTTACCAAGAGTTTGGATGAAGCTTACCCAGAGCGGTAGCCAACAGTCCGGGGATGGATCACATGACCGAGTCAGGTTCCAGAAGGGTCTCCGCAGCAGGAATAGTCACGGAAAGCTCCGATTTCGACCGAACAGAGCAATGGAAAGTTTTACACTCGAATCCAACTGTCAGCAGTGGTAGGGGGAATGGTGGACACCCCAAGACCTGCCAATCCTGCAGGAAATGGGGTTCGTCTTTGGTTCAGTCCCCCGACCAGCCCATCCGCTATCAGTGCCTCCAGGATCTTTCTGGAACACATTTCTCCATCCCACTGTCTCCTCCATCCCCACGGTGCCCGGCCAAGTTCAGGTACACAGAGTCCCTCATGGCCACCCGTCCTTCCCGTCTCCCCAGATCCATTCCCTCTAATGCCTGAGTGGTGTTTCAGACAGGCCGACCTGATTTCTGAAAAGCTTTCATTGACTTCTCCTTGCCAAGGGGTGAGAACTGCATCTCTTTGCCTGGTCACACAGACCAGGCGGGATGGGTGAGGTCACTATAAACCGGGGCCTCCGTATGTGCCTGCGGTCAGCTGGCAGGTCAGCAAAACACCAGACTCACTGCCCTCCTGCCCTGTGGAAGGGGGTTGGGAGAGGCAGGCCACCAGTAAACAGAACACACTCAGGGGTGGGGCTCTCTCCTCCTTCTCCTCCTCCTCCTCCTCGCTCAGTGAGGAGGAAGTGGGATTGGCGAGTGGGGTTCCAGCCTGTGTCTCCCGACAGGAGGGGTGGCGCCCTTTCCACACAGCCATCGCTCCTAGCGCCTTCGAGACTCCCCGAGGTTCTGCAGCCTTCATCTGTCACTTGAAACCAGGCATTTGGGAGGCTGAACACTGAATTAGATGAGTGGTTTTCAGCCTCTTGTGCATTCAGTCCTTGTCTCCACTAGAGAACTTGGGTCCCTCCCCAACCGAAGACAAAGCCCACTGTTCAGAGAGAAGTGTGTTTGCGTGATTACAGGTCGTCAATTATGTATTCCTCAATTACGGCCAATTATCAGCTCACAGAAGCTTCTGCTGGTGTGTCGGTTGTCAGTATTGTTGCTGTTGCTTTAGCTGCAAGTCAAATAATGCCAACGGTTGTCGAAATGGTAGGAATTCCATTGAAGACAAACCTCACTCCGACACGGACAGCGCAGCACAAGGGTGTTAAATTTAAAGAGAGTTAGTAGTTTCATCGTCCACGGCTGATGGCCACGCAGTTTCACGGTGGCGTGGGGATCGGAGAAGAAAGCAAATTCTTGTCACGTGTTACGAAAGCTCCGCACCCTATGCCTGTGATGCCTGGATCTTTTTGAACCAAATAACCTCTTCCTTCCCTCCCATCCATGAAATTCTACAATCGAGAGAATCATTCTATACATTGATCTGCTGGTGCCAATGAGCTTAGCTATCAAGACAATAGGACTTTGGAAAGATTTTCAGCCCAGAAAGTCCAGCTATAAATAGCCTCATCGCTTCCAGCGCTCACGATGGGGATTAACAAACACATGATGATAAAATACTTTGACAAACGTGGTACCTTTCTAATGTTAAAAATAATAGAATAATAGTGGGCCAGGCTGCCTCTTTGGGCTTTCACTATGAATTACAGTAATTAGATTTAGTTTCCAGACAAGATTTTCAGCGGCTTCTTTATTGAAGGCTTGCTTTGTTAGGTGGAATCAATTTTACTTCTGCAGTTCGCCTAGCGACAGCAGGCACGCTGTGTTTTGAAAGACAGTAAAAGAGTGATGTGAGCACTCGTGTACACTGGTGCCCACCCCGAAAACTCTGGCAATTTTGGGGGGAAAGAAATGTCATAGTATTATGTCCAAGACCGTGACCCTATACAAGTACATTAGAGGCTCTCTCTTAAAAGGATAATCCTGCCCTGGCTGGCGTAGCTCAGTGGATTGAGCGCGGACTGTGAACCAAAGCATCGCAGGTTCAATTCCCAGTCAGGGTACATGCCTGGGTTGCAGGCCATGTCCCCAGTGTGGGCCACGTGAGAGGCAACCACACATTGATGTTTCTCTCTCTCTCTCTTTCTCCCGCCCTTCCCCACTCTAAAAATAAATAAATAAAATCTTAAAAAAAGAAAAGGATAATCCTAACTACAAAAAAAAAGGCTTTTAGGAAATATTACTTATAAAGTTAGAACAACACTTAAAAACAGTAAGATTAAATAAATGGAACATCCTCTTAGAGTAAAGTGTGTTCTCAGTTGGTTTCAAAAGTATATCATAACATAAAAGTATTTTATGATACAAAATAAGTGACAGCATAATTCAAAAACACATGTATAGTCTCACTCTGCTCTGTGAACATGTGTGTTGCGTACATCCAGACACATACATGGTGGGAGTACGGGGGGAGGGGCAGTAAAAGGCTAGCAGAAAAGCAATAAAAAAATGGAATTCTTGCACGCTGTGGTTGGTGGCGGCCTTCTGTTGTCTCTTCACATTTATTTTTGGTCATCTCATTATGCAGCCTCCGTGGTGAAGGAAGAATGGATGAGAAAGAAAAGAATATAAAATGTGTGTGAGCAAAAGCTGATTTCATAGAAAACAGCACAGTACGTGTTTTCGCCACCTGGGTGGAAAGACGGGTAAAGGAGTGTTGGGGGAATGCCTGCAACCCCACTCCCAACCGCAAATACACCGTGAGCTACAGCCGCGCTTCCAGGAAACGGAGCTTTTAGTGAGCAGAGAAAGGAAATATTTATTTAGTAACTTAAGTGTTTACCTCCTGGGCAGGAAGGTTGGCCAGCTTGTAAAAATTTAATATTTGCTTGCTAGGATGATCTACGCACTCTCACACTCCACGGCTGGGCGAGGCTGGGTGCGCCCCTTGCTCTGCATTTCAAGCGGCTGGTTGGTTTTTCTCAGTTTGTTTGAACTTCCCTCGCTCCCCTGAAGAGCATGGAGGATGAAACAGCCTGTTGGTGACCAGTATTGGCCTGTAACCGTCGCATTGCTTATTCAGGCTGAAATTTATTATAGAAGCCATTTCCAGATCGTGAAGGGAAGCATCCAGGGTTTGAATACAACAAAGGAACAGAGCTAGATTATGATGCTGGGCTGGCCATCTCGGAGCTGGGTGGGTGGCCCTAGGCAAGTCACTGTGCTGCTCGCAGCTTTGGCTTGTTCCCCAAGCCATCAGAGAGCCTGTTTTGAATATCAGAAGAGACAATCTAGGTGAAACATCTCTGCATTTGATTTATGTAACACATACAAATGTATCAGGCACTGTTCCGAGTGCTCTTCAGGTATTAATGCATTTTATGCTCCTATGCCTCTTCGAAGTGAATATTGTTATTGTGCTCATTCCACCAACGATAAAACTGAGGATCAAGATGTTAAGTCAAGCCCTGACTGGTGTGGCTCAGTGGGGTGAGTGTCATCCCTCACACTGAAACATCAGAGGTTCGATTCCCAGACAGGGCACATACCTGGGTTGTGGGCCATGTTGCAGGCTAGGGGCATGCTAGAAGCAACCAATTGATGTTTCTCTCACACATCAATGTTTCTCTTCTGCTCTTTCTCCCTCCCCCTGCCCCTCCATACCCTCTCTCTAAAAATAAATCTTAAAAAAAATAAAAAGTTAAGGATGAAGGTCATGCAGAAGGGAAGGGCAGGGCCAGGTCTGAACCCAGTCGACCTAGCTTCAAAGTCTGGGTTCGCAATCAGGAAAAAAAAATGTTACCATTCTGAGTATCTGTTTTTTTTTTAATTATTTCCTTTAGGGAAAGATTGCTATCATTATTGTCTCTAAAATCATCTTCATCCTCCCAGGAATGTATTTTTGGGGTACTGAGTATAAAATAAATGGAGGTTTTAAAATGTTCTAGTAAGAGTTAAGAAAATAGCATGGAATAAAAAAGAAAGTGGTAACTACAGGAGAGGATGAATATGCTAATTAGATTGATTATGGTGATTAGTTCATAATGTATACATATAAAAACATCACCTTAAATGTTTATGATATTTAATGTTCACCTTGTAATATATATAATTTTTATTTCAGTTATATCTCAAGGAAGTTAAAAATAAAAGAGAGAAAATAGCCCTGGCCAGGTGGCTCAGTTGATCAGTGTTGGTCTGTAATTGAAGGGTTGTGGGTTCGATTCCCAGTGAGGGCACATGCCTGGGTTGTGGGATTGATCCCCAGTCTGTGTGCAGGTGTATGCGATCCCTGGTACCCTGTGCTTGTGGTCCAGGCACATGTGGGAGGCAACCAGTCAGTGTTTCTCTCCCTCCAAAATCAATGAAAAAATCCTCAAGTGAGGATAAAAAAAGAGAAAATGTGGACAGGTAATACCTTTAAATAGGTGAGAGAGCTGTACTCTTTGGTCGTGCATGTGTTTATATAAAACTGAAGAGAACTCATTTGTGTAGGTCAGATGCCAAGCATCACATGTTTGTTCTTGACCATTGTATTTGCCTTGCATCCTGACCTGGTCAGTAGATGCCGTTATTCCCACAAATAGATGAGGAAACTGAGGCTTGTAGAGGTCAAATAGCTTGTTCAAGGTCCCTGGTGAGTAAGTGATGTTCCCAGGATTCCAACCTCAGCTCTGCAAACCCTGGAATCCATGCTGATTTTACACTGGGAGGTCTTTTGATTTCCTAGAAAGTGGCGCTGTTCTTCTCCCATGGAGAGCTGTTCTGGCATGATACTGGCTTGTCCTTGAATCATCCCACATTGTCAAGGCCACTTGTCCTTCCTCAAACCAAGAACTCACACTGAAAACGCCTCATCCTGGCTGCTGTGTTTTTCTGCAGCGAGTTCCCTTGCAGAAACGAGTGTAACAGATTCCCTAGGCATTCAAATCACTGTCACTGGCTCTCTCTTTTCTCAAATTGCAATTCCATTCTAAACTTAATAATCAAGGATTATTTTAGCTTGGATGCCCCTGTATTTTTTAATAAAAATAGACCCTGGATGGCCCGGGAGGGGCTGTGGCACGCTCCTGACAAAGTAAGAAAGGCGAAGCGAGGAGCAAGCTGTGTTATCGTCTCTGCCTCTTAGCATTACCGTATTTATTGCATCCCCACCAAGAACAGGGGAGCCTTGCTCATTACAAGCCAAGCCTGCAGGCTCCGCTGAGGACGGGGCATGCACTTGCTATTGTCTTGGATGCAAAAGCATGACCTTGTCACATGTCCACGATGATGTCTGTGTGTTCGAAACCCAGGCAAGCTCTGTGGGACCCAAACTGGTCTGCACGGGCAGAGAAGCCTTTTCTCCTGGGTGTAAAGCCAGTGCTCCCCAAATGCATGTATAACCAGTGACTGGTGTAGAAAACTCTTTTAGATGTTGTACAGATATAAAGTTAGGTAACGCTAAATCAAATTGAGAAAATCCCTTTCTGATTCTTGTGAATGAGCTCTTGTTCTCATTAGGAGATGAAATTCATTTCCGTGCAAATATGTCCTTAATATCTGTCAAACTCGAGCGAATGTCCCTCTGAACAAAAGAACAGGATGGAGACACAGCCCCTGTGGCTGACTTTGGAATTGGCAGGACCCTGTCATTAAAACTAGCTCTTACCTCTTTGAATTAGAAACCCAATGCATGATAAGACTCCAGAGTCACACGTGGAGGCAGAACCATCACCATTGCTGCTGTTAGTCCTGAAATCTGGGGTGTTCTTTCACGTGTGGGCATGATCGGGCTCTCTTTTTGTCCCTGTGAACCGGGTTTACCTTCTGGTCAGAGGCCAACTGGACGGTTACAGGCCTTTCTCACAGGGGCAAAGCACCTACTGGGAGACAGCGCAGCTCCCCGAGGAAGAACCCCACAAACAGCTGAGCGGGGTCCTCAGCCCTCATTCCCTCTCACGCTGAACTCACAGTTCAGACCCTCCCTCCCCCTCACAGGCAGGTGGGTGTTGGGATGGAACTCACACGCCATGAAATCCACTGCATAGAAGTGTACAGTCGGCTGTCTTCAGTGCATCTGCAGTTGAGCAGCCATCGCTGCCGTCTAGCGTTAGACCATTGTCTTCCTCTCATGAAGAAACCCCACCACCCTTTGGCGGTCACCCCCCCATTGCTCCCGCCTCTATCCCCTGGTACCCCTGGTCTGTTTTGTCTTTGGATCTGTTGATTCCGAACATTTCATAGGAGTGGGATCGTGTAACATGTAGTCTTTTGTGGCTGGCTTTTTTCCCTTAGCGTAGTGTTTTCAGGGTTGGTCCATGTTGTCGCATTTATCGGTGCTTCACTCCTTTCTTTGCTCAGTAATGTTCCAGCGCATGGCTGTACCACAGTTTGTTTATCCAGTCACCTACTGGTAGCCATTTGGGTTGTCTCCATTTCTTCTTTTTTTATCCTCACATGAGAATATGTTCATTGACTTTAGAGAGATAGTGGGGGAGGGGAGAGAGAAAGACATCAGTTGGTTGCCTCCATACATACTGCGACCAGGGATCAAATCTGCAACATTTTGGTACACTGGATGATGCTCCAACCAACTGAGCCGCCCGGCCAGGGCCTTTCCACTTCTTGACTCCTGAGTAATGCCACTATGAAGATCTGTATACAAGCGTTTGACATAAGTTTTCATATATTTTTTTAGTATACAACTAGCAGTAGAGTTGCTAAGTAACTCAACAATAGTAATTCTGTGCTTGTGCAAGGGGACAGGAAGGGACAAAATGAGCCCTACGTAATATGCTGGACGTTTTTCTGGGGGCTAGGATACACCAGGGAAGGACAGACCCAAGTCTCTATCCCCCTGGAGCTTAGATTCTTGAGGAGAGACTGGTGTTGAACAAGTATTCCACAAATAGTAACCTGACACATTAGGAGGGTTGTAACTGGGGCTGTCCTGGTTCCAAGGGGTCTGTGGGATATGAAGGTGGGACCATCTGGTTGGCAGTGGATTAACAAGTTGAAGCTCAGGGGAAGCATTCAGGTTTCCATGGAGACTCCAAGAGAAGTGGTCTGGGCAATGATTTCAGGTGCTTTCTGCAAGGCCACGGAGAGGTGCAGTGGACCCCACCTTCCGAGAATGAGACCCGAGCCACTGCCGCTCAGGCTGTGGTTTGTCACTGAGTCCGTGTCCACACGTCGCCAGGGCTTCGCCAGTCACCTGGGCCGGGAGCCCCTGTGTGTCCCCTGATTAAGCATCTTCATAGTCTTCTAATGGGGGAAGCTCGTGAGGCACACTGGACCCTCTGACAATGTGAACACCTAGTGTTGCCCTAAAGATGAGCTAAGTGTCTTTGCTGATTTACTCTACCTCCTGGGAAGATGCTTTCAGTGGACCAGAGGGGCATTGTGGGAGAGATGGCCTCTCTCAAAGCCTGTTCCTCTCACCCCACACTGGTGCATCTTCTCTGTAAGCAGATTAAACCTACCAAATTACAACTTTGATGGGCTGCCAGTTCTGTCCCCCCGGAGCTGTCTGGCTCTCTCTTTCTCTTAGAGAAGGCAAGTCACAGTTCTCAGGAGGTCACGTACTCTGTCCCAGATCACCATTAAGTCTGTCTCTGTCTTTATCTCGACTATTCCTGGCACGTAGTAGGTGCCCATTGAATGCCATTGTCTGAGCCTCCCAAATATCATTCTTTCACAGTCAGGCTGTGAACCTTCCTACCTCTTATCCTTTCCTTACTCTGTTTACATCCTGCAGAATGCCTCCCTCCATCTCTTCCCATGCAAAGGGCCCAGTTACCTGCCATGGCCTGTGGAGACGTCCTATGGTCTCTACCAGGGAGAAGGGGTCTCTTGCGCCCTCGTGGCCCTGTCGCTTCTGCGCTCCCCTTGTAGACCATCCCGCACGTTTGCACAGGTGGTTCACCCTCCGGCTCAAGGGGTGTCCTTCACTTACTATGTCAGTCTGTCCACATGGCTCCGTGGGACGTGCGCCACTCGTTGTGTGTGGCAGCCCAGCGTCATGCCCCACGCGTGTCCTAACGCTGATGCAGCTCCCTGTGTTCTGTCTCCCCGCGTCTCCGCCAGATCGATAGCTGCCCGAGGGCCCCGGGCGCGTTCATCTGTTACGCCGCCTATGTGTTTGCTGCCTGATAGCTCTTTGTTGGATGTTTAATCATTCAACTCATTTTTTTGTGTGTGTGTGTCTATGGATGGAGGAACTAATTGAAATGCTGTATTTGAAAAATGATGCCAAAGCACAGAGAAAAATAACTGTTGCGTAAGTTAATGTCGATGCTCGTCGTTTCAGCTCGCTGGGGCTGCTGTAACAAAATGCCACAGACTGCGTGGCTGGTAAATGACAGAACCGTATTTCCCTCCGGTCCGGAGCCTGGGAAGCCCGAGGCCTCAGCGCTCTCCCTCCTGACCCGGCTTCCTCTCCCTTCCCACAGGCGGAACCCTCTGCACTTCCACCTCATCGCCGACTCCATCGCCGAGCAGATCCTGGCCACGCTCTTCCAGACCTGGATGGTGCCCGCCGTGCGCGTGGACTTCTACAATGCGGATGAGCTCAAGGTATGGGCGGGAGGGAGCGGCGCCTCCTTGGTCTCTGCCGGCTGGAAGCGTCTCTCGACTCTGGTCTAGTGGACCTCAGCAAGGGCCGACATCTCAGCCCCCAGCTGGAAATGCCCAGGGTACCCTTGAGGCTGTTTGCCACCTGAACCTGATTTTATTCTCAAAAGCCTTTGAGTGACCACTTCGTTGGCACAGAGTGTACGTGGGTCTGTGTGGTTCTAGCTGCCAAGGCTTTCGGTAGAGTCTGCAGGCCGTTGGCCTGGTATGTATCTGAAAGAGGCTGATGATATTATCTGGAGAATTCTGTTACCCCATGAGGTCAATGCCGAACTCAGAGTCCAGTGGACCTGGGCTTGAATTCGTGGATTGTCGTTTACTGGCCGTAAGACACCAAGTACATAACCTGTGCATCAGCTGGGTATGTTACCTGACTAGGAGGAAGGGAGTAGACACCAACCTCAACCGGTCATAAGAGGCTTAAATGGGAGGATGCATGTGAAAATGTGTTTTAAAAGACTGCTGAATGCAATATTAAGGATTATGTTGAGCCGCGGGATTTCAACCCAGTGAGACCCCTTTGGTCACGTCATGCCCTTGCATCCAGCCCTTCTGTCGTGCCACTCCGCTGGCCTCAAGGTCGAGCTTCACAGCCTGGCGCAGAAGTCCCACATCTCTGGCTCTGGGCTCTCGCCATTCCTGCAAATTCCCTCCGTTACTCAGCTCCGAGGCACCACCTCTGCCTCCTTGCCTCCCCTCCTGGGTTTGCGCGTCTGCTCATGCCGTCCCTGCCGTCCAACGTGCCCCTCCACGTGCCTTGTCGCCACTCCCGCTCACCCTGCAGAACGCGGGTGCACTGCCACCGCGATTCAGAGCTCTCCCCGATTTCTCCAGGAACGAGGGACACGTTTTCTAGTCACTTATCTGTCTACCACTCTAGTTGCGAACCTTCTTAATGGGGAGAGGGACTGGGGCACCTCTTACCCTTTTCCGCGGTTCTGGTGCACAGCCGGGACCCTGTAATGCTTGTGGATTTAACAGATTGCTGTTATTAGAGGAACACGTAACTTTGCAGAAAGACGCGATGCTCTGTCTCCGATCACCTGGGGAAGGACGAACGCCTAGGCATGAGGCTGATGCTAGCAAATTGCTTGTTCCAAACCTCCTAAAGCCATTATCTTTTCATCTCAGAGCCATAACATTTTAAACAGATCACGGAGACGCCGGCCAGAGTTTCTGATTTTCCCATATTTCAGGCTCTGAGGTTGACGGAGACGTTGAGAATTTAGCATTTGGGGATTGTCGTGGTAATTTCTGCGCCGTTCCGATCTATTCTGAGCTAAAATTGATTAACACTCTTAAAAAGGGAAAAACAAAATTTAGCAAATTGCTGAGCTAATTAAGGTGAAAGCGAGCTGCTCTGTCTCCCCGGGCCTGAGCGCCAACACCGTGGGGAGAAGCAAGGGGAGGGGAGGAGCGGCATTTGGCACAGAAGGATGCTGCTGCCGCCTCCTCCTCCTCCTCCGTTTTCCTTTCTTTTGGCAATCCCGATCCACGTCCCTTACGAGCCTATACTCTCCACCTTTTAAAGAAAACACAAAGCGGCAGGGCAGGGGCGGGTGAGGGGCTCCGAAAGCCCAAGTTGGTGTCCTGGCTGGTCACTGAAGAAATCTGATTTGGGTTCCACGCCCTGGCTCCATCCGCTGTGCAGTGGGTCGGACAGCGCCAGCTGCCAAGGAAGGGACCCAACAAGATGACTCACGTGAAGGCCCAGCAGCGTCCGGACCACAGCAGGTTCTGGAAAGTGGCCCACGCTCTCCTTTACAGCCTCGACAACACAGGATTATGGGGGTCCCAACTGTAGAGCCTATTGTGAGATCCTTGGAGAGTTCGGAGGCTGAAGGAGTAGGGTACCAAGGGCTGTGATCTGCCCGCTCTTGGGGGCCCCGGAACTTCCAGGAGGTGTTGGAAGAAATGGGGGTGGGAGGGGAGGAGATAGGGGTTCTGACTCTCCTGCCCGCTTTAATGCAGTAGACCTGTTCATTATTTCACATACTAGATTTTTATCCATTCACATTGAAGGCTCCATGGCTTTAAAAAAAAAAGGAATTAAAAAATACAATGGGGATGAGTTCTAAAGGATGCCGTCCCCAGTGTCCTGTCCTCTAGCCCGACTTCTGCTATTGCTTATGCCACGCAAGATCCCCAGCACCCATGTTTTATTTTCCTACCAATTACATATCTACCTGCCACAGTCCTGTGTCCCTCGAGATCAGAATCAGGGAAAAATCCAGGAAGGACAATGCGTAGGAAGGCATTTTGTAAAACATAGTTTTTCCATAATTGATAACAGTAGCAATAATGTGTACGTAATGGCTGCTCAACAAACCCCAAACCATGATCTGCCCACTCTCCCCAACCTGAGCCTCTCATGGAGGCTCCTAGCACGACCATCTGTTAGTTGCTAATCCAGAATGCAATGGTTGGTCTTTGATAGGACCCTTGCCCTCACCCTGCATCTATCTAACCATCCCACACCCTCTCTTGTCTCCATCTCCCCTGCCGGCATCCCAGTCTCAACGCTCGTGATCGTGCCCCAGCACAACAGCAGTTTTTGTCCTGAATGAGTCTCTTTCGTTCTACTCTCGGCTCACCTCTCCTCCCCCAAACCTGGTCTCCGTCAGTAGCACGAGCCCACCTTCCCAGAAGCAAGCCCGACCAACGCCAACATCTTCCCTCTGCGTAAAACCTTCCATGGTCCCTAACTGAGTAGCACTTTGCTGCACAGCCGGGCTCCTGCCTCCTTCCAGCTTCCTCTTGCACCACTGGCATCTCTCGGGTCACTGCCTAGATCTTCAGATGTGCTCCGCTCCTCCCCTCCTCCCCGGGCCCTTTGTGCACGTTCTTCTGCCCGTTAACCTCTGCCCCCCAGCCTGCCTTCTCTCCCCCGGAGCTAATAAATCCCGAGTTCTTTTGCTTAAGCTGCCATGTACCGCGCCCCTTGTTTTATTGCACTTCGCAGGCGGTACGTGTTTCACAAATTGAAGGCAAGACCCTCCATCAGCACCGTGATTACAGCTGACCTTCCGTCCCTACTCGCTTTGTGGCGGTGGTCTGGAACTTAACCCGCCGTCCTCTCCGATGTCTGCCCGCCCGGGCTCGGGGAAGCCTTCCCTGCCTTTGTCTTCTCATGGGGGTTCCGCTGTCACTTGTTGTCACAGGATCGAAGATGTTCCTTCAGTAAATGCAGGGCAGGGTGTACTCTTCCATGCCTTTGTGCGGGGAGCTGGTCTGTGTCTGGGCCTCCCCTGGACAGAGAGCCTCAGAAGGGCCGCAGCCTGTCTGCTTCTTCGCATCGCCCTGCACCCTCACGCCTGGGGCGATGCCTGGCGTATGGAAATGTTCGCTAAAAGCATGGCATGCGGTCAACGTGGAGCTGAGCCTCTGAGAGTCTCAAAGTCACTAGGAAGGGGCTGCTTTTTCACGGTCTGGGCTCACCCCATTCCTGAGGCCCCTTGTGCCAGCGACCCTGCGGTGGCATAAATAAGGCAGCTCCATCAACACCACCCCAGGTAGAGCCCCCAGAGCAGCCCTGGGACAGGTGAGTGTCTTTCTGTGACAGGTGCACCAGGAGGGGGACACAAGAAAACCCCAGCGGTTAGCTGACGTTGGCGGAGGTGGAACAGGAGAGGGAGGGACTGGTGCTGTGCTCTTCACCTGCATTCAGGAAGCGGGTCCATCGGTAGCCTCCGCCGAAACACACAGCTGCTTCCCCCGATACGGCCCCTACAAAGCACTTGGTACAGCTGTTGGGAGTGGCATTGCTCAGAAACTCTCCTGTGGGCCCCTTATTCCATCTGTAGTGCTGGAGCATGGACATGTATGAAGGACCGGTGCATGCTTAAAGATGAACCGTAGGAAATTCATGGGGGGAATGGTACGCATCCCTCCGTAATGGCCAATTAGTGTGGGTTTGCAAATAGTGATCTCTCAGCCCACGCGTCTGTGTGGCCTCTGAAATGCTCTCTGGTCGTCTTTGTGTTCGTTCCCAGCTTCTAGTCCTCGCCTATCAGCAGGACTGAGAGCGTCCTTGTGCTGCGAACTCCACTCCAGACACGCAGCTCCTGCCAGCAGAGAGGGAGGAGGACCAGGATGAGCACGGGGCCTATTTTTGTGTCGAGCTTCGTAGATGGCGGCGGCATGCTGTCACTCACGTCTCGCAACAGGCCTGTGGGGTGCAGAGAGAAGTTTTATTACCTCCATCTCGCAGAGGATTTATAGATGGAAGCACAAAGCTGGAGAGTATTTGCCTAAGATCAGGCAGCTAATAAATGCCAGGGCTGATATTTGACTTTTCCCTTTCCCAGTGAAAAGATATGAGCTGTGGGACCGTGCAATTCAGGGGACACGGGTATGGAAAGGAGGGAGATGCAGGCTGCAGCACGGGGCTGGCAGCTGCCTCTGTCGAGTGGCACTTGAACTCAAAATTCCCACTTGCAGTGACTTTGGGGCCCACAGACTGTGGTATAACGACGGCCCTTATTTATGGGAGACTTGGCTGTGTTATATGGGGTTCTCCCAAGGAACGCCCTCAACAAAGAGCTGCTGCTGGAGCAGCTCCTGTCGTCATGCCTGTTAGACAGACAAGGAAACTGGGGGTGAGGGAGGCCGAAGAGCCCAAACCCCACGTGCCTCGAGATTCTGTGGCAGAAGCAGGATGAGTGCCCAGAAACACCACCCTCGACACTCCACGCCCTTTCTCCTGTGTCGTAATTCCTTCTCACGGCCTGTTTTTCAACTAAGACACTGTAATTGTGTCTAGACAAAGGTTCTCTGAGCTCTTGGGGGTGTTCTTTCTCTGGTTGTTTCTGAAGAACAAACGTGTTCAGCATGACCCCTCCATTGAAAGGCCCGCCGGGAGCGGAGCTTCCTGCTGGGGACAAAGGCATCGTACTAACGATGCTGCTGAGTCTGGGACGGCCCCCACACGCCCATCCAAGGAT